TAATGGTAACATTACGCCGGATCTCTGAGAACTCGTCGTGGTATCCGCGACTTACGGATTCTTGGGTTAGGGAACTCTTACTAGAGCGCGCTAATCAGGAGGAGTGTGTGGATGGAATCGCCGATAGCGGTAGGATGTGACTGGGGGTCTGGTTTGGTCTTTATGAAGGTGAAAAAGAGGATTGGGATGTTTTGTTGGTGGATTTATATATCTATTGTTTTTATTTTTTATACTTCACATTGTAGGATGTAATTTAATGATAGGTATATTCGTAAAGAGGAGGTTGGGAAGTCTATTCATAGAAAGGGAGAAAGAGATTTGTAAGATATGAGTGATTGGATATTACATATATATGATACCCTGGGATACCAAAAGCAATAGAATGAAATTAGTTTAAAAGTATCTTGTTAGCATCTTACTTTCTTTCTCCTTTAATGCTAGAATGGGATCAGTAGGATAAGGGGATATTGGTATCATAACAAGAGAGTAGAAACAGAGACATTGAAATAAGTTGAAGATAGGGACAGATAGGAATTTATCAATTTAGCAATTAAACTATAATATAAAAAGATATATGATTACTATACATACTCAATTATATAACATATATCAAGGTGGATATTAGATTTATTATATAGTTAATTTCTCTATTTAAATTTTAAATGGAAATAAAGTGAAGAAGTATTCACTATAGTACAACTAGAGATGTGTATTTTGTAATTGTTTTGTTTTATTTTATTAATAACCTAGTTCTCTTTATTATATAAATATATTTTTAATAGGATTTTCGAGGAGAGAGATAAATTGAATGAATATATAATTGAGTAAGTCGAAGAAAAAGCTTAAAGAAATAAGAAAGTAAAAATCTCAAAAAGATCTAAATCTAATGATTGGCTTTGAGATATAATTAACTAAACTTCTTTAATAAATCAAACGGATAATAATGATATTATACCCTTATTATAATTTATTATAGTCCATCTCTACTTTATATAAAGCCCCCATCCGTAAGCATAATCGTAACATGTTTTTCTATTCTAGAACTTGATGAGGTAAAGTTAGTTAGTCTAAAACTCTTCATAACACCTTATAAATACTATTCGCACAAGCCTAATAATTACTTTCAGTTCCCACTGCTCATAGATAAAAACCTATACACAAGCAAATTTAAACCTAGCGGACCTCTCAATCACCCTCCCTTCCAAGCTTCCAAGCTTCCATCACACGAACCTCCTCATCAACCCATTAACGCATACATCTTCCAATATATCTTCCATTCTTCTCCCTATCCCTCCTTCTCCCCATCAAATCAACCACCCATGTCACCAAAAATGACACAGAACACATACCACAACATCCATCCATCCATCCATCCATGTAACACTGCACCAACCACCGCAGCACACCGCTTCAAACCAGACTACACCACACAAACAACTAACCAACCATCTACACCTAGGTATACCAACCTATAACTAACCAGCTCAGCCCATTCCATTCCATTCCAGCCCTACCCAAATGGAATCGTCCCCCCTCCCTCCCTCCCAAAATAAACCCCAACTAATGCAATGCGCGTATCCCCATCCCCATCCCCATCCCTATCCCTATCCCTATCCCTATCCCTATCCCTATCCCTATCCCTATCCCTATCCCTATCCCTATCCCTATCCCTATCCCTATCCCTATCCCTATCCTTATCCCTATCCCTATCCCTATCCCTATCCCTATCCCTATCCCTATCCCTATCTCTATCTCTAGCTAGCCCTATATATACGCATACACGCATACATATATACATGCATACATGCATATTCGCACTCGCTACAACGGGCACAACATATAATTATAGCCCATTTAAATTAAATATCTTCATGTTGTGTAAGTTATCAGTTGTGTGTACTGTGTAATGTATGACGAATTAGTTCTCGCAGCGGGCCGGGTGTAACGAACTTGAATTTGAAAGTTTTGCTTTGCTTGATCTTTACGAATGAGTGAATGAATTAATGAATGAATGATTGGTAAGATTCAGATTCATAGAGGATTTGGTGAGTTTTGATGTATATGCTTTATTATTTGCTGGATGGGGTTGAGGTTTGGGGTTTATATTCGCGGTGTTGATTATTATAAGACTATCTAGTCTTATTATTTGAGTAATATAGGATTATTAGGTATTTGTAAGTGAAATATTAACTTATATTCCTACCTTTAGAGATCTAGAATTTCTGTATCTATTGCCTATTTCCTATTTTCTATTCCCTTCTTTTTACAATAAAACAAGGTAAAAGTTATACTTTATATCTTTTACTCTTCACTCTCTGCTCTTTACTCTCTACTCCCGCTCACAAATTTGAGGCTCATCATACATGCATTAATATCCATTGTGCAATATATATGCTGTGCAAAATAAACCACGAACCACAAACCATTAAATCGTTCCCATAAAAATCCACAAACTTCACCCGTATTAACTTAACTATTACCGATTGAAGCCTTACACACAACGACAGCGGATGATGTGCACATGCAGATAGATGTATACCTAGGTATGCAAACCTATATTCATGCATTTAGATTTATATACCCTTAATAATTAATCTGCTCATTCTTATCGTTATTCTCATTCAACCTCTACCTACATCATCTAACCTAACCCTAAACAGAAAGCCACAGAATTCGAAACTGCACACCACGAACCACCCCATCATCACATCACCATAATCTCCCACATACATACATACATACACATACATATACATATATACCATCCGAAAATTAGCTAGCGACTAATACACAACATATACAACCGAAACGAACCATTCCTATCCCGTTCACCGGTCTGCGAGCGATATCATGCTCATGCTCATGTACAGCTCCTTTTATCTCTAGTCATCTTCTCTCTAGTTATTCCAAAAATGTAATGATTCTAAGTATATACACCAAAATAGTCCACCCCCCCTTCCCCTCAGCCTAGCCTTCTATTCCCATTTAGAAAATCAATTTCAAATAAGTTAGTTAATAAACTAACCGTTAGTCTAGAGGAGAAAATATCTATTTAGGTATTTTGAACTTTTGAACTATATCATCCACATTCACATCTACATCCACATCTACAATCAACTATTCAATCAAAAATCCATCCTTTCATAAAACAAACACATATCATATTTCTCTCCTCTCCCCCTCTTACACCTCTCAACTTCTCATCCCCCCAAACCCACCAGCTCAGCCCTCCTTCTCAAGACCAAATTTCAAATTCCTAGATAATTAAAAATTTTAATAAATTAATTATAATTCTTCTCTTCTCTTTTTTATTTTTTATCTCCCGCTCTTTTATAATCTATGTTAAAAGGAATGATCTTACACAGGGAATAGTGGGAAGCTGATAGGGCAGAACTGAGGCTATATTGGTCTTGTATATGAATCACTCATTATCTAAGTTCTATAGAAGTGCGAAGCTCTCCTACAGAGAGCTTCTCAATCTAGACCTAATGGGACTAGGGCCCTATGCACGTGCTACGCGGGAACCATTCACTTTATGTACTCTGAGGCATACGAATATAACCACATAGGTGCAGGTGCGCCATGAAATTGTCATAGCTGTTTCCTGATTTAATATTTCAATATATAACGTGAAAGTGAATGGATGCCTCTTTACCTTGTTGATCTGTAGAGGCCTCGATTTCTACCAGCTAGATCAAGCACCCGGGGGTGGACCAATGCACGACTGCCGAAATGAAATGAAGACCGATACATTGCTCGAAGAGAAAGACGTCCTGCGGGGCTAGATGCGCTGAGCATGTGGTCCAGTA